ATTAGTAGTTTAGGCCCTAGTCTTTGCCATTCTGATTCATTGTCTTTTCTTACTCTACATGCTGGGGAATCTTAGTGAAAACACACCTGTGATTGTGAAACTGCAATGTGGAGGATCTAACATAATGGTAAAACATTCTAGCTTGGAAAGCAGTTGAAGAAACCAGGTTGTGGTATTCTCATGGCTTTATATGACAGTCTTTGAAAAACTGCTGTTAATTTCCTGAAGGTACTGGAAATCAATGACTTTTTAAAAAACATTTGAGACAAAAGCAACCTAAGTTTTGTAATTTTAATTCTGATGATGTATAGTGAATGTGCAGCTTCATTGCATCATCAGCCTGTGACCATGATGAGTTGAGAAGGACACTCAAGTCTTGACTCAACAGCTGGATGGTATCCTGACCATTCAGGTTGGGATTGCTATAAAGGGAACAGGTTCCTTGAAATACTTGGTGATTCACAGTGTTTACAGGCAAGGACAGCAACTATTTGCCTATGCGTCCTTGCTTGTGTTGTATTTTTAATTATGTCCTTTTGCTAGTTGACGCTGCTTAGACTTGTATATTCTTAAAAAAAGCTTTTTTTTTTTCTTTGTCACTATGGAAGAGCACAATTTTATTCTTAACTTCAGTCAGTTCAGATTGCTTTAGACTGTCTTTTAGAAATATATACATTTATGTCTGACTAGGGTCGCCAAAGCCCTGTGGATATGAGTAAAATTTCTAAATATACCTTGAATTTATTTTAATCCTATCTTACTCAGTAAGCACTGCAGTACTGTGGGGCTTGAGCTCTTAGCTACCTAAAGACATCTATATATAAATTTCTGTGGCTTTTGAGAAACTGCTACTTTGATTGCAGGGTGTATTGTGTAATATGATTATGCCCTGAACTGGCAATAGCTAAGCAACCCCACCTTTGAATAGGGATCACCAAAACTAGGTAGTCCTCTCTATTAAGCTTTAAGAAAGTAATGAAGCTTCAATTAAAAATTATTGCTAGTTGTTCATAGCATTAACTGTGAGTTTGATGAAAATGTAACAAAAGCTCTGTTGACTGTTACAGAGAGGTTGTGATCAAGCTTTTATATTTGGATGCTCTATCTAATCTTTGAAGTTGAGAGGTTTTTTTGTGTTGAAGTCTTCAGCTAGTTAAGATTACTTAATCTTGCTGTAGTTACTCTGCACAGGACATTGTACAACTGAGTGCTGAAGCTGATCCCTGTCCTAGATGCAGGTATTTGACAGAGAACATGGAGAGCTGGGTCCAGAGAGGATGAGGGGAGAAGCAGGCAGAAGGACAGGCACTGCTCTGTCTGCTTGTGTTTGTCTGTCAGCTGTTTTCACATTTTTACCCTGTTGATCCTGGTGTGCTTTAGAGCCAGGCTTTTACAGGCTGACCTCAGGATCAATGCCAGTTGCAAACACGAATGACAGGGTAAGTTGTCATGAATATTCAGAGTTCTAAATTGCTAAAACACTTAGTTTTCAGTCTAAGGTGTCCAGTGAGCTGTGGGCAGATAGTCAGAGCCGGGGCTGCAGCTGAAGTGCCTTGAGTTGTTTCCATCCATCCCTCACCCAGACAGGCTAGCTTCAGGCTGAGTCTGTTAAACTCATAATGTTTCATTAAGCCCCCCAAAACCTAAAGACAAACTAAAAACTAAATCACAGAAAAATCCCAGCTCCTGCAAGCAGAAACACAGAAGTAATTGAATGAACTTTTTCACCTTTCATTGCTGTGCTGTCTCAGAAATGGTTGTGTAGCTCTTGAAGAAAGCATGTGATATTTCCTAGTAGAGGTATTTTTACTTAGCACACCAAACTCTGTTTTGAGACATCGTTCCCATGATTTTGTCTTGTTTACTTTTGTAAGCATAATCTTTGCATTTGTTTATGCAAATGTGTATGCAAATAAGCGTTAAATGCCACCAAAATAGATTCTATGGAGGATTTAATGCAGAGAATTTCTTAAAAATATGAAAACCATGGATAATCTAAATAACAGGTTTGTTGATAGAAATCAAATAAAGCTACTTTATGTTTGGTTTATAGTTTTGTGAGGTAATTGTTTCTTGAGGCAAAGGATTTTAGAGTGAATTAAAAAGAGGTAGTAATAACCTTGTAGACAAAGGTTACTGCCTTTAAAATGGCTGATCCATTTTTAGCCATATTCGACGCAGTTCGAAGTCTTGGATTCATGAGTTAATGTTTGGTTTCCTGAAAAATAATTGACCTTGGAGAAAGAAGTCAAGTTAATGTAGCTGTTGAGGGAAGGGCATCTGTCCAGGTTCAGCAGTTCTTTATGGCTGATAATGAGTTGTCTCAACCTTTTTCTCATCCTGTGATTAGGCTGGTAGGAAGCAGGTTGTATTGTATTTGAGAGGGGTGTTACTTAAGAGAAATGAGAAGGAGTTAAAGGTCCTCCAAGATGAGGTCATGAAGGCAGGGAAGACGAGGTTGTAAATGTGATCGGTATCTGTGTGCCCCCTTCCTGCACTGGCACCTCTGCAGAGGGAGCTGCTGTCACTGTGACTCTGTCATGTAGGTGGTGTGTGTGGGGAAGGGTTTTGTGTCACTTTTGAGTCCAATGGAGCAAAGGATTTTTAAAGTCGAGTTTAATTGAAGAGGTTTTCCAGTAAGAAAGCAAGTCCTGTTGTGGGCTTTGTATGGGTGAGAATAGAAAGGTGATCAGTCTGTGTGATATGTCATGTTATAGCAGTGTCTCTTGGACTTCTTCCTTTATGTGATAGTATTTTTATATATATTGTGCCAGTGGATTCTTAATAATTGATAGTTGCTCTTAGAAAAACAAACTGTGTTATCAGAAGCAAGTAGAAGCAATCACAGATATTGACAGAGTCAGGGCTGCCAGCTTTAACTGAGTTGATATTTTCAACAGTGGAAAAATTGAGGTGTTTACTTGCTCAGTTACACCAATTGTCAGTGTTCTGACATTTCTGGAATTTTCAATGACTGTCTAAGCTCTCTGAGACATTTCTTTCTCTTGAGTTGTAGTTTTGTCTGAAGTTGTATAGAAGATGTTGGAGTTGTACTGTTAGAAATCTTAAAAATATGATCATTTGGGGAACATGAACATGTGTAGCATTATGTGTCTTAGAAATCCTCAGACATTGATATAATACCAATCGATTTGTTGAAGGTTTGTACTATAGTGTATATGGTGCATGTCCAAACTAAAGGCAGTATTATTTATATCATTTAAGTAATACACTGTATAAAATAGGAGTATGTCCATTAGACATACTCCTATTTTATACAGTGCATTACTTAAAAGATATAGTCAGAAAAGAATGAGCAAACAATGACGGTGCAGAACTGGGTCTTTTGGAGGGTCATTTTTAAAATAGATAGAATCATACTGCGTTGGAAGGGAGCCTTAAGGATCATCAAGTCCATCTCCCTGGCCTTGCACAGGACAATCCCATCTATGTGGCCCTCCACTGGGTGCTGTCTTACAGCTGAATGTCTTTTTGTGTTGTGGTGCCCAGAACTGCCCCCAGCACTCGAGATGAGGCTGCCCCAGTGCAGAGCAGAGCAGGACAATCCCCTCCTTGCCCGGCTGCTGTTGCTGTGCCTGAATCCCCCAGGACAGGGCTGGCCCTCCTGGCTTCCAGGGCACTGCTGGCTCATGTTCAGCTTCCCATGAACCAGGACCCCCAGGTTCTGCAGCTTCTCTCCAGCCTTTTGTTCCCCAGCCTTTACACACAACCAGGCTTGTCCCAGGTGCAGAATATGCCCTGAGTTTTTTGGTGATGATTTATGATGAATAATGATGAACGATAAAATGTCATGAGTTGCTCTAATGCTTAGGTCTTTCATAAAGACACTAATTTTAATCTATTGTACAGTTTTGGTTTCTATCCCATTTGTTGAATGTTGCATTTTTATTTGCCTTTCTTGTCTCTGTAAAAGCTGTAAACAAATATCTTTAAATCAAGAGGTAGATACCAAATAATCTTTTATTACATAAACTCCCTACAGGTTAATAATTCTCGTTTTCTTTTAATGAAGAAATATAAGGTTAATGTTGTTGTTGATACTGACAACTTAAGTGTAATATTTTTACTCAGGATGGATCTTGGAAAATGCTTGCTGTATAGTTTGGTGTGTGGGGACTAAGTCACTGCCATCCTTATGACATCCTTAACCATGTCCTTGCCATCAGTGAGGCCACACTTGGGGTGCTGGGTCTGGTTCTGGGCTTCCCAGTGCAAGAGAGGCACAGATATACCTGGAGGATTTTTATGTTTTTTTTTTTTTTTTTTCCTCTCGTAATGAACTCTGGCTGATGGATTACATGAAGGAACATTGTAAAAATTAGTTTCAAAATATAAATACTTTATATAAGCTGAGAGGCTGGGTTTTGGTCTTTTTTTCATGCTGATTGCTGATTACAGTGGCAGAGATTAACTAATGCTATTGCTATTTGTTACCATTAAAAGAACCATACCATTCTTTCTTGATTTTCTCCTTTTGACTTAATTTTGGTCTGTTTTCATGAGGGTGCTAATTATGATTAGTAAAGTTCTAGCACTAATATTATTTTCTTCTCCAAGTATATCTAATAGTGTGTATTAATTTTTCTTGCGTTTTATATCATAATTATTGCTGCACTTCAGAGTACTGTGTTGGGCTAATAACTATGGATTGCTGAATTTATCAGGAAAAAAAAAAGACTGCATGTAATAAAGCACTTGTGAGGTTCCTGTGAGACAATGACAGATCACCTCTGTGCAGCCTGTGTGTTTTACTGGGAAGGAAGGACAAAACTGATGCTTTTCATGTCCTGTAGCAGCAGATTTGTAGTTTTTTGTTTGCTCAGAGGAGAAAGCCCAAACTCTTAGTGAAATAGAGATGAGGCAATGTGTAAAGTAAATACAGCTGTTCAGTGATTTGCAGGTAACGGGAGTGTTTCTGCATTCCCTGTTTGGCCTTCGTAGGGAAGTGGAAGTAAAGTTCTGTCTCTTTCTGTTAACAGCCTAAAATGACTCTGTGAATTCAGTGGAATAAATGGCGTCCAAAGTAACTGATGCTATAGTTTGGTACCAGAAAAAGGTAAGATTTCTATTTGTTTTTATGGTGGCCTATTGTGTTTATATGTTAATTTAACAAAGATAAAATACTTATGCTTTACTTGTTAGCACTGTATGAGAGTGAGTAGCTTGAAACTTTTCTTCCATAGTAAATAAGTATTTAGTGACTGTATTTAGTGACGTGAAATAGCTTTTAGTCTATGCTGAAAACTCCTTACTCCCTTGGTTACCTGTGCTCTGCAAAAAACCAAATTTTACATTCTCAGTAGAGTGTTAATTAATGTACAGGAGAATGTTGTTTCTGTAGCAGATAAAAGAATCCTTGTATTTAAGTAGAAAGTAAGAATTTAAACAAATTTTCTATCAGTAACAAAAACCCTGTATAATACATACCCAAAAGAGAGAGTCTTGGCTCTTTGTGGTGTAATAAGTTTCTGTGAGATAGTGTTTTCCTTGGGTCTACAGCTGTCTTTTGGAGAGGGAACATCTTGTCCTTAAGCAAATAATGCAGTGGTCTTCAAAACAGAAGTTCTGGTTAGCTTCTAGCAAAGCAACAGTTACTTTCTGGAAATAAGGTAATACAGGTCTGCTGTGTTGAGTTCTTTACAAAAGTGAATTAAATGTACAGTTGCAAGAGCAGAAAAAATAATTTTGCTGACTTAATTTATACCAATCATTCAATTATGTATTAAAAACGTGAAAATAATTCACGTTTAATGATGAATTTTTTTTTTTTTTTTTTTTTTTAACCATTTACTCTGATTTGGAAGATGACTTGTAAAAGATCTAATGGAATGAAATTCAGTGCAGGATTTCATGGAAGGGGAAAGTGATGTTGATTTTACCTGCTTCCACTCATTCTCTCATACAGTTAATTCACTCACTGTGTAGAGGTTTCAGAGTACTGATATCCAAACACCAAGCTGTGTTAGTATTTGGTCTGGCCAGGATCCCTTTGTGCAGTGCAAAAGATGCTGGGTGTCAGATCCTCATCATGTCTCTGAGGTTGTTTTTGTTGGTGATGATGCACTATCCTTTGGACAGGACTTTCATGATATTCAGTTTTACGTATAGAAAGAGCCTGCAGTCTCTGTAAATCTTAAGTGAAGTTCATGTTTGTTGTCTGGTTGGTTTTAGTTTTGTTTTTTCTTTTCAAATACATGTGTGTTTCCTGTTGATCATACAGTAAAAGGAGTGGCACATTTGATTTGCTCCAACTTTCCATCCTCCTGATGTTAGGAAGGCAGGATGAGTCACTGTGGTGTGATTTTACAGAGGGCAGACCTTCTGATCTTGATATAAACCAGCCATTCCTCAATTTTACTTTTCCCAGGACATTGCTCCTAACCAGATTACTTGTTATCAGTACGGGTCATTCTTTTAACCCTTGTTCTCTTGTTTTTTTCCAATGATTTCACATACATCTCTATTCATTCATAGTAAAACCATCATTTCTGTGGTGAATCTCTGTAGTATTTTACAGAGGTCTGCTTGGCCAGGAATTGCACAGTGCCTTTATGGCAAGGAGTTGTGGTGAGGTGGCTTTTGTTACTTCTGGAAGGACTGGGCTGTCTTCAGGAGGGATAAGATCATGTATAAACCAGATGTTGGTCTTCTCCCTGGTGTGAACAAAATTTAATTGCAATCCACATGTGGACTGAGATCTGCCAAACTTATGTTGCTTTAGTATGAGGAAGTGTAATGTTTTGAGACAAATGACTGTATTGCAGAGAAGTTGCAGCTGTTCATGTGAATTAGACTGTAATTTCTTACGTACCACAAATTCAGGGTTCTCCTGGATCTGGCTGGTAACCCCAAAGAGTTTTCTAACTCTGTAGTGTCGTGTGTGTGATCTGTTCCTGGGACTATCCTGACTCTCTCACCTTTGCCCTTGATTTTGCTTATTTATTTGTTTAAATCAGTTACATGACACAGTATTTTTTACCCGTGGATTTGTTGTTTAAACCAAAGATTTCAATTTGGGGAACAGAAAGAGTTGTGCTAGTGTTTAGTTGATACCAGACTTCTTTTTGGTCCTTGCTTATGACGTCAAGGTCTTACTGAACTGTAAGACCTGTTGTTTGCCTCCAGTTTAAAATTTCAATTTCAGTTTTTATTGTAGTTGTCAGAGTTGTCTCACTGATTAGATCTACTGACTCATCACACCTGTAACTGGAATTGAAAGTGGGGAGGGATCAAAATGTAGCACATTCCGGCAGTAAAAGTTTGTTTCTGGGACAAGAGAGAGCCAGGGTTGCAGTCAGTATTGATCAAATTGAAATTACTCCCCTCTATGATGAAATGAGAAAAAAAGAGCTGTTGTTTTGGGGAGGTGTTTTCAGATTAATAAATTGGTGTATGAATGCTTTGAAAAAGAAAGTTAACTTCTGGTATTTCTAGTTATAGATGACTAAGAAGCATTTGAGTGGGTTGGGGCTGTGTAAGAAATAGTGAGCAGATAACTTACTCTTTGTCTTTCTGAGTTTTCGGTTTTAGTGTATTTTGAAATGTATTTATTTCCTGTGTCTCTCTGGTCTGTTGGTTTCTCAGACATTTTTATATCTCTTCAATGGAAAGAGTTAAGCAATTGAGCTCTTCCAACCCTACTTAAGGCAAGTTTTGCAAACAGCAAGTTTACTCATGACTCATACTATTGTCTGAAATTGAGCTCCTTACACCAGGATGATTTAGTAATACCCTTAATTGTTTAAAAGGTCAGACCTTTTATTATGTAAACATGTTTTTCTGTTTTGACAACAGATTTACTCTGCTTTTAGTGCACTGGAGCCCCTGATTACTGTCTCATAAAAATACGGTAATCAATTCTGAATTATTTTAAGTTGGATTGTATAATTTCAGAGCGGTATTACAGCAGTTTGTTATTTGAGATACAAGGTTGCAAGGACAGAGTTTTAGTGCTTCCAGTGATTGCTTGCATTTCCCAGCCACTAGAAATACTTTTTCAAGGCATGAAATCTGCTAGATACAGGTTGACTCAGTAGAAATTAAAATAAAGGAAAGCTCTGCTGTGTTTCTCGATGCACTGGGGAGTACAGTGCTGAGATATGTGTGACAAAGGGTTTGCCTGGCTTGTTTTCAGCCCTTGGAGCTGCCCTGCTTCTTGCAATAAAAGGGAGTGGCAGGAGTGTCTGTGTGGCTCTCTGGAAGGGTTCCAGACAGCTTGTCACATAGATGCACAACTTGGTCAATATCCTTAGGATTATGTGTATGTACCACGATACTGAAATTGCTTTAGCTTGGTAATTCATTATTTTGTGGAGAAAGCCATCATAGTGTTTCTTCTGGAAAAAATCTGACACCCCACATTTATTGAAAACAATTTCAGTATCTGGTGGCATAACCTTTGTATGATACTGATGCTATATATGTGCTTGAAGTATTGCCTGAGTAACAGTAACTGATGTTAAAAATAATAGTTATGAATAATTTATAATACTGCTTCTATTGCTTGTAACTTTTTGCATTAATTTCTTAAAATACTTCCAAGTTTTACAGATAATAATAGAGGGAATTTTTGGTCTGGTTTCCAGTGTGGAGAAGATATGTAAATTTACCTTAATGACTTTCAGATTTTCAATCCTTACAGAAGCTTTGCTGATAAAATGGGAAGCTCCTTCTCCTGCAATATTACCAACAAATTTGTACAATTATGTTGTTCCTTCTCTTGGGGATGGTTGTAGGGGAAGGCAGAATGAAACTTATTGAATTGAGGCTGGATCCTACACCCGATTGCATATAATTTAACTTTGCCAATGCAGCTTTCTGCTGCTCTGGGTGTCCCTTGGGTACAGCTGTTAAAGGTCACAATAAAGCAAATGAGATATTTTCTCTCTCATGGCTTTAAAGGGCAAAATCAGAGTTCTAATGGCATTGCTTTAAGATCTTAATATTCAGTGTTTTACAGCTCACCAGTCCAAGATTATACTTGCCTATTTAGATTCATAGAATGGCCTGGGTTGGAGGAGACCTGAAAATTCAGCATTTTCCAACCCCCCAGCCATGGTCAGGGACATCTGCCACTAGAGCAGATTGCAACTTGGAGCACCTACTAGTGAAGGCCAAGACAAAAATATCTGAGTACCCCAAACTTCTCCATGTCCCTGGTAACCAGCTCTCTTGTTTCTTTCCACAGAGGGCCCACATTTTTCCTAGCATTCTTTCTGTCATCAACAAACCTGTAGAAGCTTGTTTGTGTTGCCCTTGAGGTCCCTGCCCACGTTTAACCCTATCAGTGCTTTAACTTTCCTGACCTGGTCCCTGTATTAAGTTAATAAAGGAGGAGTTAAATGATTATTATATCCTACCTTGAAACCTGCTGATTTCCTTTTTGGTACTGAATACACATTATTCACCCTGGCACAAAAGGCAGGTTTAGCCAAATGAACAGGCTGTATGGCTATTTTACCTAAAACTTTGGATGCTGAAACTGCATTGATTTAGAAATATCTGACTTTAAGTGCTGAAGCTTGACAAGTGTTGGAGCTGGCATTTATCAGAGCATGGAGGAAGAAAATGTATGTTCAGGTAGAATTTCCTTCCACATTGGTACAAGCACTTGACTGACCTAGTGGGGATTTACCTTCAGTGCCTTGTTTTTTGGTGAGGCAGAACTCTGGTTTCTGAATCTGGTGCAAAAGAGAACTCCAGAAGGGGCTGTGGCTGAACAAAGCAGGCTTGCATTTTGCCTGCCTGTAGGCTCCCATGCCTGCTTTGCCTTCCCACAGACTTCCATACATTTGTTGAATGAATTTGGTCAGGAAACTCATCCAGCTAAAACTAAGACTGCGAGTCTCCAAGGAGGTGAACCTATCGAATGGCAGGGGAGCAATGAGATGAAATCCCTCTGTCTTGGGAAGGGTTCTCTGATTCTTAAATTGCTTAATTAGGCCTTGTGAAATTATAGCTAACATTTTCTTTTTTCTTCCTGTGTGAACTGATTGATATTTTAGCCGCCCAGACAAAGGCAGGGGCAACAAGGAAGGCATGCTATGGGAAGTGGAA